CGCGCCGCCTCCAGCCCTGGAGCGCTTCCCGGCGAGCGCGGCGGGGGCAGCTTCCCGTCCACTCCCTCCTGCGGAAAGAATACGCGGATTGTGTGTGCTGATGAGACCCAAGCTTTGTTTGCAGGCAGTGGAGTAGTGTGACGACAGATGCCTTTGGCGTTGTTGCAGAACCCCGAATTACTCTGGGTACCGAGCATAACAACCCTGGCTGGCCAGCTCCGCCTTTTTGTTGCCGAGGGTCGTGGCTGTAAAGTCCCCAGTGGCCCGAAGTTGGCTGTCCCGATGGGTTTATAAAAGCTGCCCTTGGGGAAGAAAGAGGGCAAGGGATTTCTTTGAAAAAGTTATCAGTGTCTTCCCTTTGAAACACTTTGCTCAAGGCTCTCGTTTCTAATTACTTTAGAAAAGAGTTTTGAGCGATTCTGTGGGAAAATGTCATAGGTCATGCCTTGTTTTCCCATAAGCCGGGCAGTCTCCTCCCTTGCGATTTGCAGCCTCTGAAAACCTGCTGGGCGGCCAGCTGTGGCAATGAGTGTTTGAGTTTTTATTTTCTCCTTAGTAATTCGGGATCAGCCTTTAGGATATGCATTTGCAAATTCAGAGAAGAAAAATTAACTATAGGAAAATATTTTTGGTACCAGCAGCCAGGAAATTGAAAGACAAATTGCATTGGTAAAGTACTTATGTGCAGTGATGTCAGTCTGGAGAGTAAGGTGCGCCTGATCCAGGCCATAGTCTTTGCAATGACTTGCTATCCATCACGAAGCTGGACAGTGACTAGGGATGATAGAGGAAGAGTTGATGCCTTTGAGCTGTGGTGCTGGAGAAGAGTGTTGAATGTACTATGGACTGCTAAGAGAACGAACAGGTTCGTCCCAGAGAGGCTAAGACCAGGATGCTCCTTGGAAGCAAGGATTCTGAAGCTTCATTTGACATACTTTAAACATGTTGCGAGGAGAGACCAGTGCTTGGAGGGGCGTATCATACTTGGGTGGGTGAAGAGACAACGCGAGAGATGAAGAGCCTCTATGAGATGGATTGATTCCTTGACTAGGGTCATGGGAGTAGGTGTGTCAGAGATAATAAGATGTGCACAGGACAGAGCCGAATTTAGGGCTCTTGTACATGGGGTCGCTATGAATCAGAAGCACTTGCCTGCACATAACAGCAATAAATATTTTTGTGGAGAGTTGTGGAAGCTACAAAACATCACCTTGTTCTGAATGAGATGTAGAAGCGGAAATTTGAAAACTGATGGTAACTTGGAGCTCATAGTTGTACTTTCTAAATGTTTTCAGTCACCACTTCTTCCTAGCAGTTTTGTGAATGACAGTTCCCTTTATTTTTAATTATTAAATTTTATTAGTCTTAATGAACATTTACAGAGATTTTGGGTTTTCATTCATTCATTGGTGCACTATTTTCTCTACCCTCCTCCCCAGTTCGTTCTTTTTTTTTACCCCCTTGAAAGTCTGTTTTAATTGTCCAATTGCCACAGTGCTTGTCAAAGCCAGTTCTGATTCATCTCCTTTGTCAGTGTGTCCTTTGCCATTCCCTATCACTCCTCCCTGAGAGAGACTTCACCCTGTTTCTTAAGGAAAAGGGGATGGCGTATTCTCTTAGCTACTTCCTGCTGAAAAGGGATGCTGTAGGTTTCAGGGTGAAGATGACAGTTCCCCTTTTTGTGTGTGTTTCTTGACTTCTGGTTGATGAAACACTTCAGGCAGCCCCTTTCTCCCACTGTCCCGCCTAACTCATTGGGAGTTACACTGAAAACCCAAAGGCCACGCCTCTGGCAGTTCGAATCCACCAGTGGCTCCTGGGATGAAAGATGGACAGTCACTTCTATGTTGTTTACAGCTTTGGAAAACCCACTGGAGGGCCAGCTGGGTGTCAGTGTTTTTCATTGTCCATTGTGATGGAGGGCAAGGGTTACATGCTGTGAAAAGGCACGTTGCTACCATGGGCTGTGGGGTTTCTGATCTTCCTTTGACTGTTTGAGGACAGGCAATGGATGACAGGCAATGGGAGTTTTGTGTTGCTGCCATTTTTCAGTGAAAGCCTATACCTACATTTCCTTGGACTCAATATTCCCGTTAGCCGCTTTCAGTGGGCCCTGACTGACCCATGTTAAGTGGGATCTTCCTGCCATGATTCACACCCGCTGCCATTTGACTCCAACTCATTCTCATAATGACCCTCTGTCTAGTTTTGAGTCTGTCAGGTTGTTTTTCTTCCTGACCTTGTTTTTAACTGCGGTTTTAGTGGGAGTTCAGGGAAAGAGCCTGCCCTTCGCTTTTAAAGAGCAGTTGGTGGATTTGAACCAAATGGCATTTTGATGAGCAGTCAGAAATCTTGTGCATGGTGCGTTGGAAGTCGTTGTTAGGATCCATAGGGCTTTGCTGTTGTTAAAGTAAATCACCAGGCCTTTCTTCCTAGCGTTAGTCTGGAAGCTCAGCTGACATCCATCCCTAACTAGCGGTGACTGCATGTCAAGTATAGTGGCTGGAAATTGAACTGCGTCTCTCCCACTGCGGCCTCAGTACCTTGATTAGCTTGGGTTTGCTATGCTTTATTTGAGTTAAAAGCTAATTTTTCCTCCCTCTAACCAAATTTCTGGGGTCCTTTGCATTGTGTGTTACTGTTCTTTCTGCCCTTCAAAAGTGGGTGGGCGGCTCTGACCCTTAGAGTAAGGGTAAGTAAGGGTGGAGCCCGCGCCAGGCTGTAGCTTAAAATCCTGTAGCCTTTAATTGTTTTTGGTAAAACATTTTTCTAGGTCATGTAACCCTGGTGTGTCCACTTGCCGTACAGAGGTAACTCGTGGTTGCTGTGAAGCTGAACACTGTGACACTGATGAGTCAAATGTGATAATGGTTACCCATGGTGGACAGCTTGGAAGCAGAAGTGGCATCTACTTCCAAAATAGCTTGCCTCTGGAAACCATATGAACCTGGAGAAAGGATGAACGTTATACAGGTGTCCAGGTCTTTTGATCGCAGGATCGCTATGAGTTGCCTACGACTCAACGACAGTTAGCAACAACAACCAAGTTTACTTGGTTAAAGCCTTTGGGATGGCTTTAAATGGGCAGCTTAGTCCCCTGCCTGGTGTTTTGATTAAGTCTCGCCCTGAGAACTAAGTACCTTCAGACTCCACTCGAGACATTCCCTGCTCAGGCACCTGGAATCCATGCTTTTTCAGAACACCGCACAAAGTGTGTAACTGCAGGGGTACAAATGAGGAACAATGGACACCATTCTACTTGTGATATGTTTAAAACAGTATAAAATCAGAACTCAGTATAGGCATATACTGAGTGAATACGTTCTAGTTGTTCCTGTACAGTTTTTACTTTATTTTAGTGGAGAATGGGTGTACGATCAGAGATTTGGGAGGGAAAAAGTCCTGGAGCAAACTTAGTTTTTGAGATGCTTTAGTTTGGTCAGGAATTGTTAAGGTCTGAAAGAAAACTGGAGTCAAGTGCATTTCAAAACTGTAACAGAAAGTTCAACCTCTTTGGTGGTCAGTTGGAACAACACATGGCTTCATCTCCATTGGGTTTCACAGGCTGCAGGTGACAGGGGTACACTACCCATTTTTCTCCTGGACGGTCACTGGGGGGCTCCAGCCATCAGAGAGTTTCCTCTTTTGGGTTAACAGCCCAGCTCCCAGTGGACCAGGCCACCGGGGCTCCCTGAGATTGTAGAGTGTTTTATTACAGTGACTTAGGTCTTCAGCTCCTTGGTCCCTAACATGACTCAAGGTCAGACAGATACATGGAGGAGAGTGGTGTCCTAACTCCCTGCATCTGCTGCGAGGCTCCCAGATCTGGTGTGGTGCTGCAGACTCTCAGATAGAGTCTGTGAGCCTCCACGACAGGTCAGTCATTGTTCTCAAAAAGCCTTCACTGACGGGCTACTTAGCCTGCTTCCATAACTGCATCCCAGCCTCCTCCCTAGGGAAGGGCACTGCTGTCTGCTGGACTCTAGGAGAGTCCAGCTGATCTAGCAGAGAAACGGTGTGCTACTTACCCTTGTTGCACAACTCTTTTTTTAAAATTGGTATTTAAAAAAAAAAATTGGTATTTAAAGCATGTACTATGAGCTCTAGAGGGAGCTGGTGGCACAGGCTACAGTGGATTGCACGGCCAGCCCAAAGGCCTGTGGTGGTTTGCATCCGTCAGCAGCTCCTTGGGCCAAAGGTGAGCAGTCTCCCGTGTGAACGTACAACCTCGGCAACCCACCTGAGAGTCCTTTATGAGTCAGTTTCAATTTGACAGCAATACATTTTATTGTGTGCCCAAATGAGTCCCAGGGTGCCTTAAATGGTTAAGTACTTAACTGCTAGCCTAAAGATTGGGGTTCAAGCCCACTCAGAGGCTGCTTTGAAGAAAGGATGGATGATCTACTTACGAAAGAATCAGTCACTGAAAAGTAGTGGCCCACAGTTCCACTGTGACCCACGCGGGGTCACCAGGAGTTGGAGTTGACACCATGACTGCTGATGTCGGGTATTTTTTGTTTGTTTGTAAAGGC